ACAATATCATGTAATGAATATAAAATTTATTTTTCATTTATGACGATCTAATTATATTAAGTTATTTTTTCGTTTTTTCTTCTTGATTTATTTTTTTAAAAAGAATTTAAAAAAAATTTCTAGCTATAAATTTCTTATTTATAACAATATATTAAGAAGTACCAAATGTTTCGAAAAAAAGGGGGATCAGTCTAAACTAAATATCTACTATGAGACCAAAGTGTTAAGGATATGTGAAATATAAAAAACAAGTTTGAATTATTCATTAAAATTATTAATACATTTTATTGTAACTTAAATCAAATAAAACATTTTTCAATAAAATGTAAGTTAAATTAAAATAAAAGCGCAAGTTGCTTACATAGTATGTTCGGAAAGTAATGTTGCTGATTTTATTATAAAGCTTATAAGCATTGCGGGATGATCTGTCTGGTTGATCGGTATAAAGGAGGATTAGCTTACACGTGCATGGCTGCTCAATTGTCTCCGACCATCCGGGGTATTAGAATAGGAATTTTCGCAAAACATATTTTTGAATCCCCTGCAAGTCACCGTGTATTGTAGAATGAATTTCCATTTAGTTTTATGAGAAATTCGTCAGCATTCAGTGCACATGATGAAGGCAGGCTAGGCTGTATGGTTGTCTATCAGAACACCAAGTTTACAGGTATCACGAGAAGTTTGTTTGAAGGTTATGAAGAGGTAATCGGGCAGCTCGTGCAGGAAAACGACCGTCAAAAATGTGACGCGGATGACTGAATTCTTGAACCTGGACAGTTGTATAAATGTTCATTGAATGACACAGGCAATATGTATTCTAAATAGTCTCGACCTGATGTAGTTAATGATTGGAAATTCTATCATGATAATAGATTTCGCAGCCAAAGATGCCAACAATTTCTTATCATTCCTAATTTCTGACGTTGCTGTAACAAAATTTATAATGCTTCGAGGTTTCGAAAATTCCATAAAATGGTATCATTTTGAGAGATTAGCAAAGGATGGAGGCTTGTACCAAAGCTCTGAAGAATATTCCTGAAATTGCTTACTGAAACGCCTTTATATATCTGTAAGTAAGTTATAGATACCGGAGAAATCTATTTCATAACATTTTGTTTCAATTTAACATGTTGTTGTGCGTCAATATAACCTTTTTAATCGTCTCAGTGACATTACTTTCCAGAAAATTGAAACAAATTGAAAATAACACTGAATTTTGAACTCACAATATAAGCAAAAAAATGTTGTTATTCTTTTAAATATATACTAGTTTGTTCAGTTTAGAAATATACAGAAAAAAATCAGTATAATTTATTTCCCCCAAAGTATTTAATTATTTTTTCAACTTTAGTTTGAAAATATTCCTAATTGTATCTTGTTACAGCGTTTAAATGAACAATATAAGTAATTCAATTTGGCATTGCTCTGCATTCAATTATGTCAAAAAGATGTCAGCTTTTGTCATAATAACTTTACTTACCAATGAAAAGAGAAAAGAGTCTAATACGGCTGTTTTTTTTTTACTTGTAACAAAAACTCCTTTAATGAAAAAAAAGATAGTATTCAAAGACAAAAACCTTCCATTGATATTTGCAACATCAACATGTTTTTCAATATTATATTTTATAAAAAAAAATGTGTGGTGTTTGCTTTTGTTTCAATCAATTGTTTTCAAAACAAAAAGAATTCTGTGATATACAATTGAAATAATGAAAAATTGAAGGGATCATGGCAATATAATGACAAGCCACACTTTCAAATTGCTCTGAATATCATTTTTAGTGAAACGATTTTCCCATAATACACTGTTAAAAACAATTGAAAAGAGGAACGGTTATTTACTTTATTTAGTATTTACTATTTTTTAAGAACAAAGTAAGAAACACCTGCTCAGGAATAAGGTATCTGATGATTCACCTCCACTACTCAGTGGCTTGTGACGTTGTGAAACAGTGGCGCTGTACTCGCCACTGTTTATAATTACATCATTTGCTCGAAAAAGCTTGTAGCATGATGACATTTTGAAACATTGTAGCTTAGCCAATCCATGTAGTTTTTTTTTAAAATTTATTTGTTTACCCATCGTCAGTATGGCCAGTCGTCATCGTTCAGACAATGCCAAAAGATGACGGATAGTTGGAAGACTCGAAGTGAGCCAATCGCAGGCAACCTGTTGTAAAGACACCGGGGTTTCAAGAAATATGGTTTACTCCCTGAGAAAAAGTTCTCAAAGACAGGTACAGTTGCTTCCCGACCTTGTCAAAGTCGCAAGAGGGCAACAACGTCGTCTTGAGACAGTTATTTGAGACTTTTAGCTAAAAGGAATGAGTTTATGACAGCGACACAACTGTCTCGTAGCCAGTATAATGAAACATGAACATCCATTTCACGGTTAAAAGTCACCCAGAGACTTAATGTAGGTGATCTGACTGCAGTATACTCTGTAGTCTGCATTGTTTTGTCTGTGGAAAAAAGGAACGTCTAGCACGTGAAGAACATCTGGGGCAGAGAAACATTGGCTGGTTTCCTTCAATGATTAGTCTCGATACAGTCTGGACATTGTCTTGAGGCGTGTTCTCATCTGCATAGAAAACGGGAGTTTAAATTTGTCATTTAGCATTGTTAAAAAACTACTATGGGCCGTGGTATCCTAGTAGTTAGAGAATCGACCTCCTGTCCAAAGAGGTCTGGGGACGATCCTCTACTCCACGAAGGTTCAACGAGCACATGCTATTTGCGTGTTCGTAAAATCGATGAAATTTAAAGTCATGTGGTCAGTCACTGAGCTGTATCATGGGTATAGAGATCTAGAGAAAAGTTTTATTCCTCTCAGATATATGTCTAAAATATAAAAAAGACTTCACGAATAGGCGATGCTGCCATCTATCCGCTAGGTTGGGGGACAAAACGTTCTTTTACATTTGCGGTGCTCTTCTTTCAAGAGAAAGCCACACCTTTCCGACTTAAATAGTAAAAAGTCAATGGCTGGTGAGCTTGGCTTGGCCAAGAGTCTTTAAAAATAAAATAGGTTGTGCCCATTTTGTTTTCCCATATATTGGTCTTTTACTGGATGATATTTCGGCCCGGATTAATTTAATTTTGCCCCGGTATTTTTTTTTTTTTTTGCTAATTAACCATATGTTCCTTCAATTGTTTTTACCAGTTAAACAAGTTTTCATATATTCAATGCCATATGGAGGAACTCCATACAGATATAGAGAATTAAAAATAACAATCTGATGTAAAAATGTCAGCTTTAGAGAAAGTGTGGTTTACCACTACGTTGCCCTAATAGTATAAACATACTCTCAATCAATATGCCGACTGTCTCAGATTAAAAATAAATAAATACATAATGAAAATAAGTTTTCATATTTCTGAATATCAGGTTCAACTTTGAATAAAAATTCTTGTGTTTGTACAAATAACTCCATAGCAGTCTTTTAAAAATACGATAAATCACATTTTTCAACACAATTCAAACGACACATTTCACCGGAAGGCGGTTTCTGAGCACTGAAAAGTTTTGTCTTTCATCGCTTTTCAAAACTGTACAATACGGAAATGTACAACAAAATTTTGGTCGAAAAGCACACAGTGATATTCAGTTAGCAGTGAGTGGTACGATAAAGACACTGCCGAGTCATCTCGTTTCAGCTATCGTCTTCGTGTCCATTTATGACAGTTTCAAGCTTTGGGCCTATAATAGTGTGACGTATAGGGAGTTCAGATTTTGACTGAAAAGTTGTAAGTGTAATCTGTGGTGGTCCTAAAGGATCTCTAAACGTATAATCTGGAATATCGGACGATGATTCGGATCGATCTTTTTTTCCGTACATTACAGCTCCTAAGTTTGAAGAGATTTCCACTTCTGCTTCTCTCTAAAAATAATATTGATAATATAATATATGAAGAATATGTTAGTTTTATCGATGCCTTTTGCATCAGATTTAATGCCATGGTTACTACATTCAACATTACATGTAATCACCTTTACTTGAAATTAAAAATACAATATCATGTAATGAAATTATATTCATATTAATATAATAAAGAAATGCGTTTTTTTTAATGATTCGTGTTAGTTTTGAGTTAGTGTAGAGCAAGCAATTCATTACTTTGGAAATTTTTTACCATTACTATGACACCCTATTTACAGGATTTTTATCACTGATGCATACTTACACTGTAAAAACTTTGGTGTAATAACTCTCCAAATTTGATGAGGAAAAACCAAAAAATAATACACGAAGTAGCAATTTTTTTTAAGCTAACACAAAATTGAGCTTTTATATACAATTTGAGGGGTGTAAATCTATCTAAAACTCTTATAATGGAAAAAAAAAGTTACCCCGAGCTCAAGCATTTTCACACTTTACGTTAAACATTTTAGCTACCGAAAACAGCAACGTTGGTGCATTTAAGATATCGTCCGGAAATAATTTACACTTGAATACAAGTCGGCGATAGTTTTTTGTTACCTTCATTCCTGCTATACATTTACTGAAATAAAAGTTCGTCGTTAAAATATGTATGTTTGTTTTTAGTTTCCTATTATGCCGACCAGGTGGTCGAATGGTTAGCGTGTCAGACTACGGAGCCATTGGCCGCGGGTTCGAATCCTGCTTAGGGCATGGATGTTTCTCTCTCTCTCTCTCTGTGTTCTATGTCCTTTCTCCTTTGTGTGAATGTGACCCTCCCTGTAAACGGGTTTGTGGTTGTGTGACGTGGGCGACGCTGCTCCACCGCCTTGGTTTCGCCATAGGTGCCCACTGGGTAACGAGAAAAGAGTAGCAGTTCTGGCATTCCTGTGGCCAATGGGACAATCCCCAAGTGCCCGCCATTAAAAAAAATGTCTTATTATTTGTGAAGTAAGGATATTTATATGTCAGTCCTTGTATATTGTATTAATTTCTTTTAGAATGCATAATTTATATCCAGTTTGGCCCTGTTAGGCATAGTTCAAATTCGTTTCAGTATTCTCCCTCTGCTGTGTGTATAGTGCCGTTAAGAGGTACACTCTTGGAAAAGTTTCCTTGAAATCCAAGTTCTCTAGCAATTGCGGAACGTAAATGTCTATCCAGTGAGCATTCGTGAGCAAATGTGCTTAATTCAGAAGTTTTAACTTTTCTCGTAGTTGAAATATCTGATTAACAACAACTGCAGTACTAGCCTTGTTGTTACCACAGTGTCCTCACGATAGCCAACTAGCATAAAATTGCCTACACTATAAAAAAATTACGATGAAAAGTATTGGCACTTTGAGTACAGAATTCATAAAATCCATCTCATAGTAAAATTAATTTCTGCGGTAACATAAATTTTTCTCTCAAAATTTTATATCTTAATTTCTACAGAAATATTTATTTAATTACAGTTATTTAGTAAATGTGGCTGTAAAAATTACGGTATATGCAGATTTTTTGTTCGGTAAAATGTTACTGTAAAAATGGATTTTACGTAAAATTACGCCTTATCGCAATTGCTTCCTAAATTTTTATAGCGTATCTTAAGTCAAACGGCCCTTCAGTGTATTTTATAGTGGCGGAACATAACATTTTATAACTTAAAGATGTAGTCATAACTCTTTGAAATTGCAGATAATTAAGTTTTTTTGATTAAAAAAAATTAATTAATTTTGTGTTAAGATGTGAGTGTAATAATTCAGAAAAAAACTTATTTGAATTGATTTATTTCATAAAGAACCATAGAAATTACGGTAAGTAGTATAATATGGAATCCATACTAGTTTTTATGACATTTTATTTTCAACTCGTTTCTTGTAATTAAAGAAAAGTGCTTCTTGGAGCATTACCATAATTTTTTTTTGTAACTGAGCTGGTATAATTAATAAATACTTACTTTTCCAACAGCTGAATGGCAATGACAACTGTCTCTTTTTAGAATATCTGGACACTGCTCATGCTGATTTGAAGAAATTTCATCTTCTAGCGATCCACATATTAGTGTACTGTCTAAAAAGAATAATTATATCATTACCCTGTTAGTTCATTAAAAGTAATATTTTTTGGTGGTTAAATCTACCAGCAAATCTAAAAAAGTCATTTGAAAGGTTTTGATCGGAGGAATTAAGCAAAATACTAATAAGGATTTAGTTAAATTACAATGAAAAAAAAATTCTTTTAGAATTACTGGTGATCATATAGAATCGACTGTTACTCAGTCACTTAATTTTTCAATCCGAATTTAAACTAGAGATTAGTTGGCAAAAGTAGATTTAAAAAAAAAATTGCAGTTAAGTGCCTAAATGTGTTGATCTTTATTACCATGAGTGTATGGAGCATGAAAGAAAATGAGTTGTTTGAATCTATCGAAGGAGAGTCACATTGCTGAGTTACGAAGTGGAGGATGACCTAGGCTTCCAAATAAAAAAGAAGCAACAAATCAATACCACAAACGAGCAGTATCAGAAGAAAAAATGAAAAGGGTATATGCTTAAGCTGCAAAAAATAAATTGAGCAACACCATTGTAAGAAAGTAATTGCAAGTAAATATTGGGTAGAAATTTATTTACAAAACTTGAACTAGAATTTTCGATTTATTTCATTGTCGTTACAATTTACATTAACACTGGAAATATTTATTTGTGATGGTATTATATTATAAAGTGTAATAATTGTTTTTCAGTGCTCATGTATAAGCAATAAATTCTCCTCATGTAACTATAATTTATTTGTAAAAATTGCATCTACGTAAATGCATTTAGTCAAAATTATAAGCGCAAGTGCTTTCAGATTTGTCAATTTTATGCATTTTCTTCTGACAAGTAACTATTTGAATAGAGGAGAAAATGTATTCAATTATCAAAGTAAAGTTCATAAATATTAAATTTTTACATTGATTTAAATAACAATTGAAAATCAATTGTAAATATAATTTTTGTTTTCTTCATAATCTAGATAAATAAAAAACTTTTCTAAATAAAGAAATAATTCGATAAATCTCAAAAAGTAAGAACTTCCTATCAACTTCATGACTTCTCAATTCCAGAATAGTCGTCTTCATTTCATACAAAGAATAAAATCTTCGGATCTCTCCATTTTGCCTTGATAATCAAAATATCTTAATGCATCAATGATTTCTCCTTTTTCTCACTCAACCAAAGAATTTCTTGCTGCTCAAAATATTTGAATCAAACAAAAGGGAGTGAGAAATTCAGATCATTGAAATTTAATTAGCAAACCCATAAAACTGATTTTCTCTCTTTGGAAAGAATTCATGTAACCAATGATTAATGCTTATAATTTTTGTTATTCTTAAATAGCTTTTTGGAACTTGTTTGACTCAATTCGCTTAATCTAGAAGTAAATGCAATGGAAGTTATATATTTTTTTGTTTTTACTTTCTATTGCAGTTACAGAATAATTATCATCTTAACTTATAAGCGAAATAAAATAAAAATCTCATTCATGAGCAATATAGGTTTCGAATATCATGGATTAAACAATAATGGAAGTTATGTTTTTCTAAAGTGCCTCGAGCACAATTATTTACTACGATAGATTCAGATTGAATTACGAGAATTTTTCTACAACTCAGGTATTTTTATGACATAGAAATAAGTATGATGAAATGTATTTCCTACATAAGCTATGTTTGTTAATCTAGCATTCTTTATTGATATTATTAATTAACAAATTGAAAATATGCTGACTTAGGGTACATGTAGAACTACACGTTATGTTAGTTAAAATTTCTTTATATTATCTACAGTTATAAGACTAGTACTGAGCATAAATTTTGCTTATTATTGAACTAAAAGAAAATAGGTTACTCAGTTCGAAATAATAAAATGTCAGATTAACACAAAGGTTATTACCTTTGTGTTAATCTGACATTTTATTATTTCGAACTGAGTAACTGAAAATGGTTGTCTTTTTTTTGTATTGTTCATAGTTATCTAAGAGTTTCTTTAGTAGTTATTAGACTAGTATTCAGTGAAACCCACAACTTGGATCATTTATAATATGAAACAAAAAATAATATTTTTTAGTTACATTTTAAGTCATAGTCGGACGATAAATTACTTTTAATGCCAGTGTAAATAAATCTTCATTCTTTCAGTGCAGGTAATCTTAATTTAAAATCTCAATTGTATAAATCCTAATTAATCTTGTTTAGAACCTATTATTTTTTTTAAAAAAATAGGCATTTCATATAGAAGATTTGCTATGAATGAACTTTAAGTAGAGATCTCTAGTATAATATATTTTTAAAAAAAATTATAACATATTTTAAGACACATTGCATTAATTTAATAGATAACAGTTAAATCAAAGATTTTACCATGCATAAAATATTTCCTCAAAATATCTTCATGAATTGGTCTAAAAAGTCTCACGCAAAATTTGAGCTCATATTATGTGTGTTGTACGGAAATAATTTTGCCTTGAAACTTTAAATTAATTTTGAAGCAATTAACAATTATTCAGAGCGTAATAAAAATGAAATGAAAAAGAAAAGTACTCGGATTAACTGGTTTATATGAATATTCTGTAACTCAGAGGGAGATTAAAAAACTCTCGAATAAAGTCTATTTATTATAGTAAACTGGTAAACTGTATTTAGGTGTTTATTTTTAGCATATACTTAAAAATTCCTTTTTGTATATTTTATTTAAATAGGCAACATATTTCTCTCTTCTTCTGAATTTCCAAGTTACAAGTCATTCTATTTCATATTTGTTTTGCATTTTGATCTATATATCTGGTTCTCCTCTCTTAGGTTTTTCTAAAATAAATGGTTCACGTATAAGAAAAATATTGCTTTTACGAATTGCACCATTAGATTTTTTTGCAATAATCGATGTATGATGATTCGCCAAAAATTTTGCCAATGCATTGCGATTGGTCAGTGAGAATATTTTTCCAATAATATTGTTAATACTCTTTGAAACAATACTTCTACCTCATTTCAATGACTCGCATAGCTTTCTCAAAGAAAAGGTTGATCACTATTAATACTTATGCAATGTATTTTATTTATGCCACACTACAGCTGCTCAGTGAGCTATTGGCGAAGGTACGAGAGACATCCCTGTGAAGGATCCGAAAACATGCCATTACAATTTTGATCCTCTGCAGAAGGTATGGAACCCTTGCTTCGGTAGCCCAACAACCAGCGTGCGAAGTCGAGCACTCGAACAGTATAACGAGGATCGATACCATACACCCTTGATCCCTACGCAGGCTGATTGAAGTGGTCACACACCCACTTACTGACCGCAGCCAGTGATGCTTGACTTCTGTGTTCTAATGGGAACCGGGTCTTTACGATCAGTCCACTTCGGGACCAATATACTTCAGAAAACATTTTTTTTTAAATATAAAGCTCATCTTTAGAAAAGGCAAAAGTTAAATAGTCTTTTGTTTCCATTCATTTCTGAAATTTTCTTATTTCTTGAAATTAAAAATTTTGGGAAGGGGGGATATTGTTCACAAAATTGACGAAACTTATTCGTAATAAAGAAATGATCACTATAAAGGTTCTGTCCTCGTAAACCATATGAAAAAACTTTATTTTTTTTTTAATGTCAGATGAAGCTAAAGCAATTTGAGATATCTCGTAAGTAGTAATGTCGTACAAGTTCCAGCATTTCAAGGTATTTACAACTGGTTTGTAAATTCAGGCAAAAAGAAAAAAAAAACGCTTCAAAAAGCATTATATTCATTTTAATGGTAGAAACGTTTTGCACTATGATAATCCCTTTATTCGAAATAAAGATACCATAAATCAACAAAAACTACGACTTCTCTCAATCAAAATATTGAAAATGTCTCAAAAAACTTACCTCTAAAAGCTTAAATGTCTCAAAAAATACCGGACTAAATATTTACGCTTTCAAAAATCTGACACTAATTCGTGTATAATTCATGCCCTCAATTAAAAATTCATTCCCTCAATCATTTAATTATGCATATTTACCTCTTCTTTAGTAGCTACATGTAAGATATAAAGCCTTAGAAAATATATTTTTATTCCTGGGACAAAAAAGACCCACAGGACACATTAAGGCGATTTTTTTCAGGAAAACTAAAAGTTCAGTTAATAATAAATTTTATGAGGTGATAGATTGAGGAGAAGGAGGAAAAGTCATGAAGGTGAGGAAAATTCTGATAAGTATTCTGATGAGTAGATACAGAGATCCAAACTTCGATTTGGGTGTAAAAAGAACCGAAAAGTTTTCTAGGGTTAATTAATTCTTAAAGGATTTTCAAAAGATTAGCGGAAGTACTTTAGTTACTTGGATTCTTTTAATAAACGGTATTTAAACGAATTATTGATTTTTCTATTTTTGAGTTTCATTATAAAGAAATAATTTTTCTATAAAATATTCAACATTTTGATTATGTTCAGAAATAACATTCTGCCATTAAATGTTTTAAAAACTACAGCTTAGATTAAATCCTCTCGATTGATAATATTTTTTGGAAAATACGCGCAAAACGAAAACAATAATAATTGAATTTACATTTGATTTTCCAATTTTTTTCTCTGTATATAGAATCATTAATATCTTTCTGAGTAAACTCATTTGGGAGTAAAACATACTCTATGAAGGTTTATCCTTTTACTTTTGCTAGTAACATTTATATAAAAATCTGAGAATGGATGAAAGGGTTGTTGCAATGTTTCGACTTAATGTATTTGTCTTTATTAACTACCTGCCGTCTACAAACTTCAAATTTCTAAAAATAAGAAAAGAGAATTATACCCAAGGGTCAAAGAAAATGCTGCTTAAGTTGAAAATATTTGCTCAAATCCCACTCTGGTTAGTAAAAAAATAGGACCTCTAGATTGAAAGAGGAAAAAATTGACCTTATGAAAATTTAGGTGAATCTGTATACTATATTATAGCAATTAAAATTAAATTGTTACTTATTACATATATTTGAATGATTTTGTTTCCAGGTTTAACCGAACTATTGAAAAATATCACAGAAAATCATAGAAA